AGATTCTGGATCCAACCGCATATTGTTTTTAGCACACATCCATTGCCAGAACATTGCTTTCCCAAGAATCACATTACTCTCCATTGCAGAAATACAGAGAGATGGTAAGAACCAACCAACCAGAGACCAAAGTGTTATAATTACACTGACTCATCATAAATAACAGACTATTGTGAACAATTTGCTCAAGACTTTCCAGATAAAATTGCTATGATCCATTCTGACTTGGATACTATAGTTAATCAGGTCCAGTGGAGATAACTTTGGCTCCTGCTTTCCCAGTGTTAACAAATACTTTTGAACTTGCACAGCCTGAGGATGTGGATAGGATCCTTCAGGAAGTCAGAGCCACCACATGTGCACTTGATCTTTTCCCTTCCTGAATCATTAGAAAGGACAGAGGGGGACTGTCTGGGTACATAATTAAAGTGATTAATTTATCTAAAATAGACCCATGTCTGATTCCACAGCAAGCTGGCTTCAGGAAAGGCAAAAGTTGCACATCGCAAGTTCTGAACCTGACTCAGCATATAGAAGATGGCTTTGAAAGGCAGTAGATCACAGGAGCTGTCTTCTTAGACCTGTCAGTGGCTTATGATACTGTGAACCACCGCCTCCTCCTGAGAAAAATGTATAATATCACAAAGGACTACCACCTCACCCTCCTCATAGGAAACCTGCTACAAAACAGGACTTTTTTTTGTTGAGTTCCAGGGCCAGAGAAGCAGATGGCAGAAACAGAAGAAAGGCCTGCCTCAGGGGAGTGTGCTTGCTCCACATTTACACAAATGACCAGCCACTGTCATCTATGCTGACGATCGTGCCATTATCGCTCAAGCAGGGAGCTTTGAGATGGTAGAACAGAAGCTTTCCGAAGCTCTAGGTCCTCTTACTGCCTATTACAGGGAAAACCAACTGTCCCCAATCCATCTAAAACACAGACATGTGCTTTACATCTCAAGAACAGACAAGTATCCCGAGCTCTGAGGGTTACCTGGGAAGGAATCCCACTGGAGCATTGCAGCACACCCAAATACCTGGAGTCACTCTGGACCGTGCTCTGACCTACAAGAAGCACTGCCTGAATATCAAGCAAAAAGTGGCTGCTAGAAACAATATCATACAAAAGCTGACTGGCACAACCTGGGGATTACAAACAGACACGGTCAAGACATCTGCCCTTGCACTATGCTACTCTGCTGAATATGCATGCCCAATGTGGAATACATCTCACCACGCTAAAACAGATGTGGCTCTTAATGAGACATGCCGCATTATCACGGGGTGTCTGCGCCCTATACCACTGGAGAAATTACACTGTTTAGCCGGTATTGCACCACCTGACATACACCGGGAAGTAGCAGCCAATAGTGAAAGGACCAAGGCAGTGACATCTCCGGCCCATGGTCTGGTTGGGTATCGGCCAGCACGCCAATGACTTAAATCAAGAAATAGTTTTCTAAGATCTACAGAGACACTAGCTGGAAAACCTCAGCAAGCGAGAGTCCAAAAGTGGCAGGCTCAAACCCAGAACCTCAATCAATGGCTGACACCAAATGA